TCCAACAAATGTGGATTAGCAAACAAGAATACGACGAATCTGGACCATCCATTGTCCATCGTAAATGCTTTTAGACTACTTTATTTTATTTTCTCGGTGGTTGTAGTTTTGTTATACAGAATTATATATTATTATTAAACTTTGTCAGTATTTATTATTATTACTATCCAATATACACTTGAAGTTTTTTTGTCAACTAGGGCAAAAATAAAGTCTCATCATGTATAGTAATAGAAATGAATAAAAAAGCTGTATTTTGTTAATATAGAGAATTTTGATCTTTGATAATCTGCAATTGCTAAACCAATTAGATGCGAAATTTTTACTAAATTTTTCAAAAAAATTTTATTCTCTCAAAAAATTTTATTCTCTAACGACAAAATGGCCAATAAACAGCCAAATAGTAGTGGAAAATCCAAATCAATAACTCAAAAGAAGGGTATTTCTATGAGTTCGAAAAAGAATGCAAACCTGTCGACACCACAAAACTTGAATACTGGAAATAATAAGAGCAAAAGGTTACCTAAGCAGGAAGAAAAAGAAGAAAGCACCGATTCAGAGGACGAAACCTCAAACTCTTCTGAAAGTGACGATAGCTCAAGTGAGGTTTCGTCTAATGACTCGTCGGTTGACGAACCCGCAAAAACTAGTCTTAAAAAAGATACAGCTAATAAAATTTTTGAAAGTAATCAAACAAAAGAAACTTCTAGTGACGAAGATTCCGAAGATAGTGAGGAGGAAGAAGTTAAAAATAATAAAAAAGTTACTGACAAGGAAGATAGTAGCGAGGAAGATAGTAGTGCGGAAGAATCCGAAGATAATTCTAATAATATCTCAAAAGAAAAAATTGGTTTGAAAGAGCTGCAATCTAATGATAAGAGTGAGGAAGAAAGTGATGACTCTTCTGATAGCAGTTCAGAAGATGAAGAATTAGCAGAGACAGAAAAAAGAAAGTCTTTAAATAACAAATCTAGTGATGCAAACTCTGATGAATCCAATAACGAAGCCATTGACGCACCACAACTTAAAAAATCTAATGCCAATGGTTCCTCTTCATCGTCGTCGTCGTCGTCGTCGTCTTCGTCTTCATCTGAAAATAGCTCAAGCAACAAGAATGGTACGGTAAACGCAGCACAACAAACTTCCAGATTCGATAATAAACGGAAAGCTTCGCAACAAGAACCCACTCCTTCCAAAAAACCAAAAACAAATGTTTCTGATCAAGGAACTTCTATCTTTATAGGAAATTTATCCTTTAACACGGATAGGGAATCTTTGCAACAAGCATTTTCTCAATTCGAAATTGCAGATGTTCGTGTAATAACCGATCGAGAAACAGGCAGGTCAAAAGGGTGAGAATTAAATCATAACATCACATATTATTGGTTTGTCTCATTAATTATTGTAAAATATATTTTGCAAACTTTAGCTTTGGATACATAGATTTTGTAAATTCTGAAGATGCTCAGGCTGCCATGGAATTATCTGGCCAAAGAGTAGACGGAAGAGAAATCAGAATTGACATTGCTAATTCAAAATCTCCTTCAAAAAACCGTTCTAACTTCAGTGACAATACCAATCATCGAGATGGTCAAGGCAGTTCCACCATATATGTTGGTGGTTTGTCCTATAATATCAACGAAGGTCAGCTTGCCGAATTTTTCGAGGAATGTGGTGAAATAAAGTCCATAAGACTTCCAAAGTTCCCAGATACTCAACGTCCTAAAGGGTTAATTATTTTCTTAGCATTTTTTAGTTTAGCTTGAATTCTTTTCGTAATTTTAAATTATCTATTGTACTTTATAGGTTTGGTTATGTTGAATTCACAGATACGAATGCTGTGAATGCAGCACTTGAATTGAATGGTAAAGATTTATTGGGGCGCACAGTTCGTATCGACATTGCTTCCGAACGCGACTCCAAAGGTGTTGGTACGTGATTAAGTATTAGAAATTTTTATATAATTCACAATTTTTAAACTAATTTTTGCTTTTCTTTTAGCTAATGGTAATGGTTTCTCAGGTCGTGGTAGTAATCGTAGGGATAATCGTGGAGGTCGAGGCGGTGGTCATCGCGGACTTGGTTTCAATGGAGGAAGGGGCGGTAGAGGTGGTAGAGGTAGTAGAGGTGTAAGATTTAATCCAGCAGCAGCGAATCGAGGTGCTATTGTAGCAAGTCAGGGCAAAAAAATTAAATTTGACTAATGATAAATTATGAAATTAGTATTCCTGACCAATAAAACACGTAATAGAAAGTTAGACCTCTTGTCACGATTACTATTTTTTGAATTTTCTTATTAGACTCCGATGCAAATTAAAAAATTAACTAAATTGCCCCTTCACAATTCATTTATTATAAAATATGTACAGGGTTGCCTTCCTGATGATTTTTTATTAAAATTTTTTTTGTTGCTAGTCTTTACATTATACCAGTTCCTCTCGACTTATTATGAAATACAATATTAATTAATTGAAAAGAGGTCTAACAAGTTGATTAAATAATAAAAATTAAAACTGAATGAGCATTGAGAAAAAAATCTATATCCTTATGCTTTTCTTTCCACCGATCGTACAGTGGGATACATTTGTAAGCCTTGAATATCAGGATTCCAATTAACTGGTCGTCCTTTCCGCAGTGCCAATAATCGAATGCAGGCATATATAATAATGAAAACACCGAAAGCAAAGGGTATCAACCAAAATATTGGGTTGAGTCTATAATCTGTACCAAATGGAACATTAAATGGAGGAATGTATACGATACACATGGCTAAAATCGCACCAAATAGTATACCAGCGAAATTACGTGGATTTGAGAAAATAAATTTGCCAAAAGGAAGTCGATATCTGCCTTTAACGGCAAATAAGTTGAACATTTGTTGGATCATAACGGAAAGATATACAATAGCGGCAGCTTGACCTAATGCTTCTTTTTGTTCTTCCTCTGAAATCACGTAGCCACCGGCAGTTGTATAGGAACCTCCACCATCCACAAATTTTCCTTCTACTTGCATTTTACGTGCATCATAAGGGGTGATATGATGATAATTGAGCACGACAAAAAAAGTGAGTATACAGCAAATGGCCTCAATTGTACCAATTTCGAGGTATGCCCAACTTAAGAGATCACCATCCACCAAAACTTCGCCTTCTTTACTTTCAAACTTATTTGTCCACCATCGCCAGGTAAATACTCTCTTTATACTGTGCAGGAAACTTGATATTTTCGACGGAGGAATCGGTTCTCCGGTTTCTTGATCTCTGACAGTTGGAGTACGTTCCAGAGCAAGACGTCGAAATCGTTCAATAGACCCGGGAGTTACTGGCTTTCGAGGTGGTAATTTCATAAGTCCAGTATCACTCTCTGGTCTATCCCATGCAAAAGAAAGTGCAATAAATAATTCAAAGCCCAAATCAATAACTAAAAGCAGAAGAGGTGGTAACGGTAGCGGAATTGGGATAAGAACATAGAGCAGCGTCACTAAGACTTCGGGTGTGGAATGTGAAATTGTATATCGAATTGATTTTTTCAAATTTGCAAAAATAAGACGTCCTTCTGCAATTCCTTGAACAGTAGAAGCAAAATTATCATCCAATAAAATCATAGCGGCTGCTTCTTTCGATACATCGGATCCAGATTGATTCATGGCAATGCCTAAATCAGCCTTTTTCAATGCAGGGGAATCATTGACACCGTCACCAGTTACACCAACAATATGACCCATTGACTGTGCACGTTTGACAATTTCAAGTTTATGTTTTGGTGATGTTCTTGCGAAAATAATTTCATTCTTTGAAAATATATTGTCCCATTGTTCATCGGTCAAAGTGTCAATTTGTTCCCCGTGGATTACAATTGCATTATATTCATCATCTTGTATTGACTCAATCGGACGACCGGTGTGTTTTGCTACTAATGCTTTAGTATCAGACAACATTAAGTTTATCTTACGACCAATCGCCTCAGCAGTTAAAGGATGATCACCGGTTACCATCATGACACGAATTCCTGCTGTACGGCATTTTCCAATAGCTTCACGAACACCATGTTTTGGTGGATCCTCGAGAGATACTAATCCAACAAAACAAAAACCATCTAATGGAAAATTTTTTTCTTCTTTTTTGAATTGATGATTTTCTGGATATTGGGATCGAGGTAAAAGAAGTTGTGCAAATGCAAGCACACGATGTCCTTTGGATGCCATAAATTCATATATTTCATTGTACTTTTCTTTATGTTCATCAGTCAATGGGATTGCTTTATTTTCGATAAGAATTGTGGTGCATAGTCTTAAGACACGTTCAGGAGCACCTTTGATATATAAGGTTAAATCACCGTTATCATGCGACTTTTTGTGAATTGTAAGTGCCCATTTTGTCTCCGAGTTGAATGGAATTTCAAATACTTTAGGATATTTAGTAATAATTGCATCAAAATCGTCAACATTTTGAGCGGCAAATCTTATTAAACCTGTTTCAGTTGCATCCCCGAGGATTTCGCGTTCACCAAATGGAACATCAGTCCTGTTGAACTTTACTCGAGAACATAAGGAAGAAATATGAATTATTTCTTGAATTCCAGGTGCATTTAAATCAAGAGCAACACTTGGATCATTTTGTGCACTTCGTAAAGCTGAGTAGACGTTAAGTGATGACCAGATATAAGTGACAGTCATTTGGTTTCGAGTAAGAGTGCCTGTTTTATCAGTTGCCAAGAGAGTAATGGCACCGAGCGTTTCTACACCTTGAAGATCCTTTACTAATACATTTTGAGCAGCCATTCTTTTGGCGGCAATAGCAAGTAATACAGTGACCGTTGCCGGTAATCCTTGTGGAACCCAAGCAACAAGAATTGAGATGGCAAAACTTAGAGTTTTTGGTATACTACCACCGTAAACTTTTAAGCCAACGCAAAAGAATACGATAGCGGTAACAATCGCAACGGTAGCAATGATTTTCACGAAATTATCAATTTCCTCGGATAATGGAGATTTGTTCTTTTCTTCACCGGCGGTGAGACCAGCAATTTGACCTAATACAGTATGATCACCGCTACGAATAACTATTCCATAGCCTTCACCTGATACACACAAAGTACCATAAAAACATAGATTTGTTGCTTCTAAAGGATTCTTATGACTGTTATGAGGAGTACGTTCTTGAGGATCAGCTTCACCAGTTAAAGATGAATTATCGACTTTCATATCACTTGTCGCAAATAAATATAAATCTGCTGGTATTTTATCGCCCATCTTCACAAATACAATATCACCAACTACAAGGTCGGCTGCTTGAATTTGAATTAATTCCCCTTCACGACGCGCCATACATTTTTGCGGGATTAAGCTCAAGAATGATTCGAGAATTGCGGCAGATTTTTGAAGTTGATAAAACTCAATAAAAGCATTAAGCAAAGCCACGCCAATTAAAATCGCTCCAAGATAAATCTATGAAATTAAGTAAGATTTTAATAAAATTATGTTACGCATTCAATAAATTAAGATATTTGTTTGAATTGGAAGCTTACATTTGGTTTATTATTCGCATAATCCACAGCCAACACAATATACATTAGAATACCAGCGATGATTAATAAGACATTAAATAAGGTAGACAAGCATTCCAAATATTTAACGAATGCCGATTTTTTTTTAGGTGGTGTTAAAATATTTTGACCATTCTGTTTTAATAATTCAGCGACTCGTTTCGAGTCAAGACCAAGAGATTCCGAAGGTTTCGAGGTATTGATCGAGACTTTATATCGATCTGCCACTTCATCAGCTGTGTGAAGATGTTCGTCCTATTGAATAATTAAAAGAAAAAACTTATTGATACAAATGCTAAAAAACTTTGACTTAGAGTTGAATTCGATACTAACAATATCAACATGCTTGGCATCTTTATCATCTTTAGTCGCCACAGGAGGAGGAGCTTTTACTGCAGGAGTTGGGACAGGTTCAATGGTTCTTGTACGTTCGGGTTTCTCTAAAGGGAGAAATTGAATTTTTGTTGGTTGAGAATTGGCTTCATGATTGGAGTTTTCTTCTTCTTCTGTAGTATTATTTTTTTGGGCCAACGCCATCTCTGTTGTAACGTTATCTTTTTTTGGTGCTTTTGTAGTATGAGAAGTTGCTTGGGTAACTTCAGGAGTAATTTCCGTAATCTTTTTCTCAACTAATATGGTATTTATGTCAGGAGAACTGATGTCAGCTGTCACATTTTGTTGTTGATTAGTGGTAACATTTGAAGATGCTGACTCTTCTAGTTTGTCATTTTCAGTGATGGTAGATGTGGTAAACGTAGTAGTGACAGTTGCTGGGGTGCTGCTAATAATTTTGACAACAGTCTCGGATTCTGGTTCCGTTTCCTCAACTATAGTTTCGATGATTTCAGTCTCTTCGGTTGTATATTCTATTATGGTGGTATTTGGGTCTGTAGTCTCAATAGTTTTTGTAATCGTTACACTTTCCCTCGATGGAGGAAGATCTTTATCAGGATTTGTTGACGACATACTAGCAATATGCTTATTATAAATAGACAAGCTGACGTCAACGAGAAAGATATTTTTTTAGGTATATATTGGTCTTATATTATAATTTTTATTATTTTATTGATATATAGATTCAATTTCAGAGACCAGGCGCGGCGCGATCCAAAAAAAAAACGATGAGCGCGTAAAAAAACTCACTCAAGCAACGGATGGATGTCTCAAGAGGTGAGCGCACGTTCAACACATCCATATTTAAATACTTTCAATCACGCGTTAAACTAATCGTAGTGGGTAATACAGCAGGGAGAACGCGTGTATGACGTTTGTTTATGTAAAAAATTCAAAAATTTTTCTATCAATTGTTGCACGAATATTATTTATGCACATGAAATTTTATTGCAGATTTTGGTCGCAACGAATCGTCACTTTGCCCATAATAGAATAGCGATAATGATACTATTTTGAGGAGATCTCTATTTAATAGAAATTGAATTTATTTGATGACAAAAGGCAAAGCAAACTCGATAACCAAATGAATCGAAGTAGAAGAAAATTGGTAAATGTGATTATTGTTCCCGGAATCTAGTTTTCAGTTTTCCAAAGGTTTTAATTAGTTCTTCGAGTTCGGTTTATTGTATAAATATTTGATCATTTCTCTTTTGACGCCTATTCTTGGCATTACGGCGCATTTCTTCTACTATCCAAATAACTCAAATTAGCCAATGAAAGTGAAAGATGGGTTTCATTACACAAATGCGATAGGCAATGTTCATAATCTATGGTTCATCGGATCAAATGGCTGGTGAATAACCAATAACAACGATTTTTTTAATATAGCATAAATGAAAAAATTCAGTTCTAAAAATTTCAAATTAGGAAATTTGAGGAAAAGTTATTTGATTATGCAAAATGCACGCTCTTGGTCAGTCCCACGCTTAATAAAAGACCTTAATTATTATACTCACACAAATGCAATCTCTCCGTTAATCATATGGCCCCCCGACTAATTGCCACATGAAGATTTCCAAAGTGATGTTGTCTAAATAAATTCTTATTGGTAAACTGAGACAGTTTCGATATTTCATGAAGAGGAACTTGAACAAAACGATCCGACTTTTCATTTGAGATGCTTTATAATATCTTGGATCACCTCTCTGACAAGATTTCCCAGTTTTTACCTCCACACTTCATTATCAAAAGAACTTGTACCCATAGGTTTCCCTGATTTAAAGAGCTCTCCTTTGTTTTTCTTTTACCAAAAGCGGTGTTAAGTAACTCGCAATTATCAAAGTTACGTAAAAGGAATGTTGGGGTGTGGGTAATGAATGATTGACATTTCGAGATTGTGATTTTATGGACGAATAAAAAACTACATTTAAAATAGGAAAAAGTGATTGTGCCACCAGTAATGACATCACTACTTCGTTTAATCCGGTTCATTAACACGTTAACTGAAAGCAGTAAAGAACTATTAAAGCAGCCAATTTCGTAAATGTAATTAAATCTTGCCCCCTACAGTGTACGAATCTTATGGTAATATATATCTTCATATAAATGTGATCACTGTAAAGGGTTCCATAGTTACAGATTTATTAAAAGAATATATTAATAGGAATATAATGAATGACATTTGGTAATAATTTTTTCACGCGATTATCAACTTTAATTTTTTTCACTCCATTCATTGTATTCATTTTCTAAGCGTTGAATTTCTTGGAGATTTTTACAATTTGCTGATATAAATCAATCTAACGCTATACAAAAATATTTTATTGTCATTATTTTACTGTATGCAATATTAAGCTGATATATCATCATAATTAAACCATAACTTTCTCCTAAACTTACAAAATGTTTTAAATTATCAATTACTTACATGTATTGATATGACGTTGCGAGGATTGTGTTGTTTGTCTTTGCTATCCTAGTTCTTCGTGAGTTTCTCTTTCAAGTTGAGTTTCTGCATCAACATTATCCAGGATTCGAAGTGATTTCTCCAAGTCACTATCCGGCACCTATTTTCACATGACAAAAAATAATCAGCCATCAATTACCACTTTAATTAGTTAATCATCAATAAATAATAACAACTCACCAATACATTGGCAGTCTTATAAGTACTCAAATACAACAAATTAATATCACTCGATATCAAAGGGTTAGATATAGAATAAACGATTCCGTATTTATCTGTTCAATACTAAAACTTTCAGATAAATTGGTACCTCTTATGGCCTGCACCTACAACACATACCCAAAGACCCCGTACGTGATAAGTCCATTTGAATGCATCTAAGTGGTATTGCAACACTACTCATGTTTAGCATGTACTCAGGAAATTCGTCAAGCACCGATTCATCGGTCACTAATGAAATACCGTCCGCAGTTGCAGTGTATGAGAGAAACCGAGATTGAACTGATGCACTGTATTCCAGCAAAATAATCATTAGATATCTCAAAAATCATGATATTAATCTTTTTCTTTTTTTGATTGATTGATTACCTCTCATCATTAGAATCACCAGGCTTTTCAAGAAGTTCAGGAAAAAATAAAATTTTCATGAGAATAATACTCATACTTTCCATAAATTCCCTATTCAAAAAAGAAATCATTAAAATATTGTCTTGGAAAAAACCAATTCTACAATCATCTACTCACCTATTTAACCCAACCAATCGTAACCGATGTCCTGTAACACGTTTAAGACACTGTTTGCGAATCTCAGCCATTGTCTTCTCTTCGTTCTCATATTTAGTTATAGGATATTTCTCGGCAAAGTTGGACGTGAAAAAAACGGGACTCGTACCTAGAATCGGATCTTTAGAAGCATGACTCAGGGAAAGTGAAGTAGATTGTTGATTATGTGGCTTGAGACAGTCTTCAATATTAATCGGCTCAGCTCCTACAGGAAAACAAAATTCTTCTTCCTCCTCAGCTGGTGGTGTTGTGATTACCATTTGTTGCTGATTTCTCACATGAATAGTGGGATTTTCCAGAGCCTCAACATCCGTGAAATTAAATAATGGTTCGAGTGTCGAAATTACAAGAGGAATTCTCTTCTCTTTTACCTATTATTATGATGGGTGAATTTTTAATAATCGATTCTTTATCCTTCTATGCTATATCATATATAATTTTATATCCCCCCTTTCGAATTGAAAATACTCACAAGCACGAAATCTTCTTGATAAGTTGACAAATAAAAAATGGAAACTCCGACTCGACTTAACAATGCCGATAAATCATTGATACGTTTACCGGAATTGTCTATTAAAATGAAAAACCAATTAATAAAATAGAACGTCGAAGAACTTGCCACAAAAAATTAAACCCAACCTAAACCATCATCGTTTTCCAAAATCAACGCTTTAAACACGTCCTTGGTAATTTCTACGTCAGGTCTAATAAGCTGAAGTTGAACAAAGTCTCTTTGGATAGAATCGACGTCCGCGATAATGGACACTTCAAGCGCTGTCTCTGTAATAGAGAAGAGTGTTTGGTCCCTAAAATAATATTATTTGCTATGGTTACATACAAATTTGGCAATAACACCTATTGATAGAACTCCATAATAAAAAAATTTACTTTGTCGGGAAAAATATGTTTCGTAAGATTGCATGCGTGCTACTAGCGCGGAAGACATTCTTTGGTATTGAGACTATTTGCAAACGAACCGGCAATATTGAGATTGACATTTAACTTTTGAACAAAAAGAAACACTAAAACTTTTTGACTTTTACACTATCGAACAACTTCCAGAGTCATGTATTTATATTTTTTACGAGCATAGAGCTTAACGCTGGAATTTTTGTTGGTGAAACGTCGACGTTGATCATTGATTATGTGATATTTATTGTCAATGAGTTACCCTGGAAAATTTGATATTAAAAGCACTGTCAATCCGTTGCCATTTGATCTTTTTTTATTCTAGTACATGTGTGCCTTCGATTTTCATTTAATTTATATAATTTTCATTGGCTTAATTTTTTTTTCATAGTATCTCTAATAAATTCAATAATTGCCTCTGAATACCCATTCTGTAAAAAAGTGTCCTGATGTAATGCATTCCTAAACTCTTTCCAAATTTTTTTCGGAGCCTTTTCAGCAACAAAATATAGCTGACGCATTTGTTTTTGCGGAACAATTTCATCATTACGTGATGACAAGAATAAGGTGGGAACTTTGATCTCCCGGATTGTGGCAACGTTATCCCATTTATTTCTAAGCAGAAACGGAAGATTGATAAGATATCGATAAGGCAACCACTTTTGTGGGTATATCGTGACTATCATGTCTTTGATTGAGGTAAATGTATTTTCGAGGATTATACCTCGTAATTGATGATTGTTGTTGTAATCTTGGACTTGTTTCGCTAAATAGATTGCAACGCCGCCTCCCAATGAGTGGCCATAAAGATAAAGTGGATTCGTGGGAAACTTTTGATGAATATATTCATAGATGGCAATTGCGTCTAATTGAAGGCCTTGTTCGGATGGTCTGCCGGTTGATTGCCAATAACCTCGATAACTTGGCGCGATTATTGTTAAATTGCTTAATTGGCTATTCCTCGCTGATAAGAGCGTCAATATAAAGATGGGAAGTCGAACTATTACGTTTCCTGCATTGCTAAATCAGCAAATCAATTTCAATAAAATTTTTCTAAGATCAAAAAGAATTATTACGTTATTTCTTTACCCTTGAAAATAAATTAATATTGGATCCCCATCCTGCACACCATAGGGACTTGTGTTTTCGTGATCTATATAGTTAGATGGCTTATTACGAACAATGATGCCTGAAAGTTTACAATGATCTTTTGTTTGAATTTCAATTTGTTTGCATATTATTCTCTTGTCTATCACTGATGCATCAAGTAATTCACTACGAGAGCCAGGTGGAAAATAAGGCATGTATATTAATTTGTTTTGGAATAAAACCAGAACCGCGCACTGTCAATTAGAATCGGAACAAGAAAAAAAAAGAATCAATAAAATATTTTTGTTTCATCATCATTGATAACCAATAATTGATCGATAACCTTATAGAGATAAACACAAAAAGGAACTCCCACAAAGACTAACGCCAACTTCCAAAAAGAAAACTCTATTGCTGGAGTATTTGGCGGTGCCGGCGGTTGTGCTGTTTCAAGGGAACTTGATGACAGATATGACGATGATGAGGACGATGATGATGACAGCAACTTTGATAACTTCTGTTTATTATCCTCCTCCTTATCATCATCATCATCATCATCATCATTTAAATGATTACTGTTTCTTTTATAATAAGTTTCACTAATCGAAAATCTTTTTATCCTTTTGATAAAATTAAAATGGGTTCGTTTATGATGATTATGTCTTTGTGTCAACAATGAACAAGGAAAAGTAAATAGTTTCCTGTTCATTATTTATTGATAGCACGTGTAAAGGTGAGCAGTTTTAGGAAAAACAGCGCATGTACGAACCGAAACATTCATATGATCAAAGAAAAAAAATACAATACCAAACTGCTGGACTTATAAACAACTGCGCCACAGAACTTATAACAATCTCCTAATATTCTGCAGCGATTTGATTATAAAAATGTGCAACTTTGTGATCATAGATTTAGTTGATTTTCAATATATCTCGCATATATCATTGTATACCGAGTTAATAAATTTATTAATACGTATATTTTATACAGGAATAAAAATACAATAATCAAAATTCTTAAATTCTTATGCTATCCTTTCCAATAAGCCTTTTTAAGAATAATTTATTTCTGCGATCAATCTTCTCAGAATTCATTATAAATAATATTGTAACATATTGTCATTGCCATTTTAATTGTAGCCGTTAGAGTTGCTGGCCGTAAGTGATAATTGCAGACACTTTTGATTGTAATCCTGATTCCAACCAAGGCCTAAGGTTGTAATGTATCGTATTAAAGATATAATACGTAATTACGCTAACTAGTTGTAGATCGTAAATCAAAATTTGAAACCTTGATTATTGATTAAACCCGAGCCAATTGATGATATGCACAATAATGAGCAAATTCACATATGGCCTCCTTGAAGATTAATAGCGTTTTTGATTAAGGGTTCGGGTCAGAGTAATTTCGTAAGCAAATTTCGAGATACTAAAGAACTTTTCCGTTACACACTGATCTTGCGATTTGATTGGTGTACCTCTTAAAAATCACATGATTCTTAACTTTTTTCGCCCATCTAAATATTTCGAGACCCGTTCGATTCTCTAGGTCATATATTCAATTCCCGTCACTAGGTCTCGAGATATTGAGCTCCAAAGAGGCTATACGTGGAATTCTGATTTATTTTTAACAAACACTTATGTACAACTTTGGGACTCAATATCACGAGACCCAATGACGAGAAGCGAGTATAAAGTTGATCATTCGATACCCTAGGTTCTGGTAAATCAAGTGGTGGGCTTTACACTCGATTTCCATCACCGGATCTTGAGATGTTGAGCCCCAAATGTGAATTACTCATTAATTACGAATAATGCATCAATTACGAACTTTACAACAATTACGAATATTACGAGTATTACATCAATTAAGGCAAACATTACGATTTTAAGTCAAAAAGTTGCAACCTTTCAACTTTATTAAACCTATTACGGCATGCAACACTAGCCGTTAGTAAAATTTTATTCTTCCTCCTCGGCCGCTTGTGCACGTTTAAATGACGCAATCTTTTGTTGAACTTTATTACGACGTTGTTTGAGATTCAACCGTTTTTTATGGTACTGTAAATAAAAAAAATAATGCATTAATAATCTATATAAAAATTTCCTTGCCAAAATCGTACAAAAAATACCTTAGCAAACGCTGTCTTGTAATCTTTCGTTTTATTAGTGGGAGTAAACGACGGATCAGCCCTAATCTTAGCATGCGCATTCTTATAGACATCTTCTAAATCATCAGCTGTAACACCCTTCTCAATAAACTGCGAGAACTGACGCTTATAACGATCGTCGTCCTCCTCTTGCAGCAGTCGCATATAATCGGCCACATGCCCCCCATAAATATATTTTCGTAGCACTTCAGAATCGAGTGATTTCGTTTCGGCACTGTAGCCGGGGAATCGATTCTCCGAGTGCGGAATAAAAATACCACCATCAGAAGCACCTTTCGTCACGGCAAATACTTTTGAGCCGGTAGATGTGCGTTTTAAACCAACGTCCAGGTATGCTTTGAATGGACGCGGTGCGTCTTCAAGTGGTTGGATTGGCGCGATGGTGCCGTCTGGTTCTACGACGCCTTCGTACTTGTCGGCTAACTTTAAGTTCGTTAAAACACGTCGAGCAGCAAGCAAGCCTGTGGCGTATGCTACAATAATATTTGAAAAAACTCGTCTTAAATGACTATTCATTATCTTCAGATTATATCAAAAATGGTTATACTTTATTTTCTTACCTGCTGCCCAATTTGTTAGTCCAACTTTAATACCATATTTTGGCAATTCATGTGAATTAGCCGCAGCAAGCACGAAATCTCCCTGTAATTTTGCATAAATTATCTGCACAACAATATCTTTATTCGTAAATCGAACCACCAATCGATATTTCGGCGAATTATACTTATTTTTGGCCTGAACGACAAGTCTTTTCCGTGCGTAATAATCGGTCTTGCCCTCTGATTTAAAATGGTTAAATTCAAAAAAACACGATTAATTCTAGATTTTAGTTAGTATTGTTTGATCTCATCTAATATTTTTTTTTCTTTCAATGATATTAAAATTACTGTTTATTATTATCAGATAGGAGCGAAAGAATAGTTTTTATTCGACACAATAATTTCAGCTGAACTATGTTATCATCACTTAAAGAATGAATACAGTTTTTTGTTTGATTATGATATGCATTTTCTCTACAATAAGCCAATAATAAATAAATCTTTTATCAAAAATAAATGACTTACCGCGCCTTCTGCGATATTTAACTTGATATCGCTTAAAGTACGCTATTTAATAAGACAAAAATTCTTCATTAATCTATGGTATTCTTTGCAAAAGGCATAAATTGCACGTTATATATATATATATACCTTTATTCTTGACCTGCTTGACAAACGGCTATGCCCCACATCAAAGAAACACACAACTTTTCAATAAACACACGCGAATTTTTCCAAGCAAACGGATGGCATGAAACAACTATAGATATTTTTGCTTACCATATCGTCGACAATAGCAGGCAGGCTAAATTAATAAAGAAAAAGAGAAGGAATCGCATTGAAGCTGAAACAAAAAATCTTTAGACTTTTTTTTGATGACGTCAGCGTCAGATCTTTCGAATAATCATATCACAAATTTTTTATTTGAATATTTTCATTCATGAATAATTTTAGATGCAGCTTTTCTTAACCTATTCATTATGGCTAGGCCTTCTTTCTTTTCAGATATTCCTTCTACTATTATATAGTCTACTTTTAACTCATCTAAATATCTCATGCTTTTAAATAGCTCGCGAGCAATTTCTTCCGGGTGCTTAATCGAATCACCTAAACGATAAAAAATCAAATCCATATCTTTAATAATAGCAGAATCAATTAAAATATTATGATTGTTAACCTCAGCATAATTTGCACAATTTAGATGAAAGTTAATGATTTTGTCATTCTTGTTAATCTCAATATAATTCATGAAAGCATAATAAGCAATTTCAGTTGGAAGATTCTTCAAAGTAGTTTTCAATAGTCCGATTCGCTTTTTACCGGTTTCTTTTCTAATTTCGTTGATTTCTCTCTCAATGACCATTTGCATTTTTTTTTCCTCTTTTATTGCATCAATTAGAATAACTTTAGCGTCTGGTGAATAATGTTTATATTTCATTCCAGGGGTAGTTGGTGCCCTTTCAAGATTCTTATCTACAAAATCTTTTTTGTACACTTTTAATTCACTCATCCCTGGCATCACAACTAAATCTTCGAAAGTAATTCCACCTGGTCTTAAAATAACTGGCTGTTTGGGATTACTTATCGCATCAAGCACCGTAGATTCTACACCTGAATTACATTGACCTCCGTCAATTATCATTGGTATTTTTCGATCAAGATCATTGAGCACATGTATACCTAAAGTTGGTGAAGGTCGACCAGAAATATTTGCGGAAGGTGCTGCGAGGGGAAACCCGCATTCCGTTATTAATGCACGAGCGATTGGGTGAGATGGAAATCGAATAGCAACAGTGTTTTGATTGCAAGTGACTTCGTTAGGTATAATATTGGATTTTGGTAAAAGTATCGTTAAAGGCCCAGGCCAAAATTTCTTTATAAGTGGAAGGTAAATTGCTGGTATATCTTGTCCATTTTGAAGAATTGAGCGCAACATTTTCAGTGAAGAAATATGCACAATTAGTGGATTATCTGCTGGTCGATTTTTTGTCGAATAAATTTTTCCAACTCCTTGTGAACTAAGCGCGTTCGCAGCTAGCCCATAAACCGTTTCTGTGGGTATGGCTACGACTTCTCCCGAGCACAAAAGTGATGCAGCTCTTGAAAGCACATTACGTGCATTCTGGTCGTTTGTTTCAAATTGTGGATCTTCGATATTTTCAAGAGTAAATTTAAAGGCGGATGGTTCAACACTGCAAATCTCCGTATTATATGTGGTAATGGTGGCCATTTTTTCGCATTTTAGTTTTGAAGTAATGTTTTTCCAGAAAATTTTTGAGATATGAAAAGAATATAGCATTGAAGCTTTTCAAAAATTAATTCATGCGTTGGGTAAATCATTGATATTGATTGGGTCAATCAGAAAATTAAATCAGTAATTTACAATTTATTTTTTGAAAAATTTTTGCCCGGAAAAAAATGTTATCCACTCGTTTTTCTGGCATCTTTCGTGCACGCGCAAAACTCTCTTTTACTCATATTTCCGCCACTCCTACAATCTTACGTAGTAATGCGTCTACCTGGGCTAATGTTCCACAGGGTATATTATTTATAACTTATTTATTGAAGGCTGAGCCCTTTTTTCGTTGAAGTCGATATCGTACAAAATAGTTGATACAATTCGAAAATCGTGCATAATTAAAAAATATCAAAGAAATTAACATTCTACATCTTCACATTATTTTGATAAGGTCCGCCTGATCCGATTCTTGGTGTTACCGAAGCTTTCAAAGCTGACGATAACCCGAAGAAAATGAATTTAGGTGTAGGTGCGTATCGAGACGATAATGGTAAACCTTATGTGTTGAATTCTGTGCGAAAAGTACGTAGTTTGATGATTAGTTGCATTAGTTAAAAAAATTTGATTACCATTGACAACTTCTAATTTATTTTTTTTTCTTAACTAAGGCAGAACAATTGATTCTTCAAGATAAACTTGATAAAGAATACCTTCCTATCACTGGTCTCGCCAGCTTCACTCAGAATGCTGTCTTGTTGGCATACGGTAAAGATTCAATTCCATTAAAAGAAAAAAGAGTAAGTGAGTGACTGTTTGATAATTTACAAGAAATCAAAATCCGAAACTAACGATGTTTATTTTTTATAGATCGCAGTTACCCAATCTATTTCGGGTACGGGTGCTCTACGTATAGGTGGCACTTTTATTTCGAGATTTTACCCGCACTCCAAAAAAATCTATATTCCCACTCCTAGTTGGGGTAATCATAATGCAGTGTTTAGAGATTCCGGATTGGAGGTAGCTAATTATCGATATTTCGACAAGGGTACAATTGGATTAGATCTCAAAGGTCTGCTGGAAGATTTGAAGGTGAGTTGGATTATAATCACAAAAATTCAAAAACCGTTATATATATCGCAAATATATTTATTTTAACTTAAATCCATAGAATGCTCCAAAGAATTCAATTTTCCTATTACATGCTTGCGCACATAATCCCACTGGCGTAGATCCAACTCGAGAACAATGGGATGAAATATCAAACGTTATTAAAGTATATATATTTTTTATATTTTCTTCTTGAATAATTATCCATTCAGTATAATCCTTTATTCAATACCTCTTCAAAAGGAACGAGAGCATTTTCCATTCTTCGATATGGCTTACCAAGGATTCGCATCAGGAGACACCGATCGTGACGCATACGCAATACGTAAATTCGTATCTGATGGTCACCACATTGCACTATCACAATCGTTTGCGAAAAACATGGGGTTATACGGCGAACGTGCTGGCGCATTCTCGATTATCACTTCCACTCCACAAGAGAAAACGACTGTCGAGTCGCAATTAAAGATTCTTATAAGACCGATGTATTCGAATCCACCGTTGAATGGCGCGAGAATTGCTAGTTATGTGTTGGGAAATCCAGAATTGAATCAAGAATGGTAAATAAATTAAATAACTGAATATTTTTTTTGGGAGAAATAAATTTTTTGTTAAATCGAGCGAATAATTATAACAGGCTTTCCGAAGTAAAATTAATGGCTGATCGGATCATCACAATGCGAGATAAATTAAAAAATCATTTAGTCAACGATTTTGGATCGAAACATTCTTGGAATCATATCACCGACCAGATTGGAATGTTTTGCTTTACTGGATTGACTCCTCAACAGGTACTTTGTTTTTTAGTTTTCATGATGATTCTAAGTAATTTACTGTATTATTGTTATTATTAGGTTGAACGTATCACCAAAGAATTCCATGTGTATCTCACCAAAGATGGACGAATCTCAATCGCTGGTATCTCATCACATAATGTCAAATATCTGGCAGAGGCTATTCATGAAGTTACCAGATGAGAAAAATTCAATTTACTTAATTATAAGAAAATAAAAAGTAGAATTGCAGAATTACAAATAAATATAGATGAATAATAAATGCATTAAATTATTTATATAATAAATACAAAAATTTACAGGATTACCTAGTATGGTAGTATTAACGCATAACTTGTTACTGTGTATAATAGCTACTTTATAAACACGTTAATATGGCAAAGAAGGGAATAAAAAAGAGTAAATATAACTCTATAGTAAACCTTAACAAGAAATTGATCAAAAGAACTCTTCTTCCCTTTATAAAGTACTAAAGACCACTGCCAGCTAAAATTGGTAGAAGTATAATTATAACGTGTTCGATGAACAAATTATATGTGAGATGCACCGGAACTGTGATATAAAACATCCGACATGTCTTTATTATGAACGTGTAATAAATAACGCGTTACTTCTCTTATCGGCAAAGGTCAATCACGTTTTTATTTGATTGAACCTATAATTTCCGATCCGGAGAGCGAAAAAGCGCGGAAGACAGTTGTCAGTTTAATTGGTTTTTTTTTTTGATGATTAAGATTAAATGACACATAAGTATTTAATAAAAAATTACGCATTTTTTATTTTATATTTATTAACAGACGAGGATCTGATGAGAATTTCTAATGAACTGAAAAAAAAAGGGTGACGACGGTTTTTATTAGAGAATTTAAAGTGTGAAGGAGCAAGTAAAATGATTAGTCAACGAAAGGTAATGGTAAGTGAATCGGATGTTATGTTGATGATTAGGTTGGCGAAAATGTGATGATGAAGATAATGATGAAAAAAGCGGTGACGGATGATAAGGGATGATAATTAAATAAGGGATGATAATGAAATTTTTCCTCCAAACTACCAAACTATAGTGTATGTATATGTTAGGGAAACGTGATTATATATAAAGAAGGTTTGAATATATATGGAAAAGTATTATATATAAGATAATAAATAACTAAAAACACAAAAAAATACAATATTAATATTAATAAAACAACAATAAAAGAAAGCAAAAAAAAAATTAATTAATTTGCCTCAAATTAATTTCTTTAATATTTAAAAACAACCGATCTTATTAATTAAATCTATACTACATAAGGGAGTGCCCATGGGTTGACGATGATTTGTAGAGCTTGGTAGGTAATAAAATAATTAATTGATGATGAGGATGAATTATGTTAATTTATGGTAATAACAATAAAAATACATGCGTATATACACCCATTTTACTCATCGATCTATTAATGAATCACCGCCAATATACTATAAAAAATCCCGTGGAAAAAAAATTAACAATGTAAATGAAAAGCTTGAACCCGAGCCCAGTCGGATGGCTTTTCTTTTGTTGAGGCGAAAAAAAAGCCCGAGAAAGAACAAGAATTCACCCTCACAAAATATCACAAAAAGAAAAATAAAAGAACAATAAGAATTAGAAGGACGAATAAAAAGAAAAAGAATAATAAAGATAATAGTAATTCATCTAAAATTTTAGGAAAGAACCAAAATAACAATCTGGTTTCTTTTTATGGGGGAGGGGATTCATCTCTATCTATTATCTATTCCTTTTCCTTGTAAGTGATCATATATCATTCTATTAAAGGGCAGTTATTAAAGCGGCGACAAGTGTGAGCGTCAAACTCGTCAAACTAAATAATGAACTAGACAATGATGCAGCATCAGAATATGAGCTTGCATTAACGTCACCATTCGCATCCGGTGACGATGACGAGTTAGGACTTGATGACGACGACGATGAACCATCATTCAAATCTTTCCCGTTGGTTTTTGCGGTGACATTTTTTCCACATACAATTTCTGCCACATATGTTGCTTCATCTTGTAGTCCACTGCTGATAGCACCAGAGCACGCCGCGCAATTACTGAGTAGACTGGGGGCCTTCTCAGCTAGAGCACATAGACACGGGACAAGTGTGGGAAAGTTAGCACTGTTTTGAGCGAGTGTTTCGTCCGTAGTATTGGCAAATGCTGAGAGCTCTGAATCTGGAATATTCAGGCATGCTTGAAGGCTTTTTCGTGAGCTCACCCAACACTGTGAGCACGCATCCGCTGATGACGACGTAGTATTCGTAGTATTGCTGTCAGCTGAAACTGTCGAGAAAACAAGGGCAAAGAAAAATGAGAAGACAAAAATTATTGCTGTTGTTGAGGAGCGCATCGTGATTTACAATTGGTATAATGTATGTGTATGGTGTTTCAGAAATAGAAGTTGTTTGTTTTTCTTGAAAAAAAAAATTTGGTTTGCGTCTCTTGTATATCGGAAATGGGAGGGTGAGAATACCGTCGTTATTCGAGAAAAAAAAATTTTGAAGAGTTTCCCGTCGCAGACGAATAAGTGGTAGGTGGAGCGGTAGTGGTGGTGGTGTATGTAGGGTTAGAAGTAAGAGAATGCGTGTCTGGAGGAAAAAGAGATAAAGATTGACCGTTATTAAATGCACCAACACTTATTAGGAATTCGGGTTTGCTTTTAGTTTCATATTGGGTGTATAAGCATTTAAAGCATTCAGGTAAAGACACGTGCGTAATGTTTATTTACTCCGGGTTTGGTAATATGAACGGCCGTTGTTCAAAAAATTGATGAAACTTTCTCTATCATGGGCAATTTAATTCCGCGTGTTGTATTTTGTGTATTTATTTATCCATGCATGCATTTAGATTAATTAATTTGTGTTCGAGTGAAACGGTTTCCTTGTTGGGTTTAATTGGTGTCCACCCTTTTATCATGCAATATTACCAACTACCGCTTTTTTCTTTGATGTGTTATCTCGTAACATTACAGATTTTTCTTGTGTAATTTACTACCTACCTGACATTAGCTTTTGCGAATAGGTTTAAGAAAAAAATCCTAGATATTTTAATGATCAAGAAATACTGTGATTGATTTCAAAGCAAAGGCAGCAGCGTCTTTCTTCTCTTTCGTAAGAAGATTAATGAAGCTCTAAACTCGCTTTGGAATTATGAAAAATACGCTCCCTGACGAAAAAAAGAAATGTTATCAATTGATGTTTTTAATGCTCCACAACTAATCGATTGGGATCATAATGGTAAGGTTACATTATTTTATAGTATCCCAAATATATTTTTAATTTTTTTTTCCATCGAACTGATCGATTGATAATAATTGACTATCACACAGAAAATTCTGTATAACTATTTGCTGGATTGAATCAAAAATTGTCCAATTATGGTTCACGTAGTTATCCATTCTCGGTTCTACTGGTATCATTATAATATGGTCACCAATGCCCACCAATAAGAACGTAGTACATGAATTAATATTTCAGTGTTTTCTTAGGAAACTACTCAATTGACTTGTAATAGCGTAGGGTATTGAATAATTTTAACAAGCAAAATGACGACTTGAATAAGCATAAGCAAAGCGATTTTGTCATCCAAATCGCGCGTTCTTCACGAATTTTCTGAAATTAATGTGCACAATATGAATGACAGATTTTTAAAAATCCTTCACCAATTTTTGCTGAAGTATGTACACAGAATTCACCAATTTTTTTTAGAATGCACATAAGATACTTCGATGTGCATATTATTCACATAAATTATTGCAACTATGTGAATTTTCTCATCGGTCAATTTGGCATACAATTCACAATTACGATTAATATTAATTAATAAATAAAACGATTTCTCAAAAAAATCTGTTAATCCGTTGTATAATGTATGATTTAAAAATATTAAATCAAAATTTCACGTACGACCTATTTGGAACTCAACCGCTCAGATTTCAGACAGGGGATAGTCATTTCGTGTGATTGGCTGATTTTCTTAAGTACATCGTAAGATCGATTATGGATCGATTATACAAACTTTATAATTCAATGCCGTAAAAATTAATGTTCATGAATTATTTATATATGAATTTAGGTGCCCGAAACCACGTTTTTGAACCAAACGAGCCGAACAATAATGGTTACATACGGAAGAAAGCTATTGGGAACTTATACTGACAGAAATAAAGAAAATCGGCTGCCATTATCGCCGACGTATCCCGATTCACCCTCGTCTCAGGCCGCTTGGTGAGATAATCGGTTGCGACAATTATGAGCTAAATTAAATGGCAGCAAAAACGTTGCTTGACCGAACACTGCTAAAACAATTAACGATCCTGAGAGCTAAATTTACAACGAGATACTTTAGTTCCCTTACAAAACCGAGAGAACATAGTCCGCAGTCTTCTACAACCAAACTTATTACTACCACTAATAAAGATACTAATGATAAAAATAACAATAGCATTAAAGATAAAACCAACAAACTCTTCTCCCCCGTCCTCTCGACGCTACAAACCTCAAAAGATCAAGTACTCTCACAAATAAAACAAGTTCGCGAGAAACCCTGGTTCGAACACATGCGCGAACTCCAGGACGCTATTAAGACGAAGGACAGGAGGGAAGCGCTTAGTGCCGCATCGAGAGCGTTGAATGAATTTACGGGGTATTCGGACGTTGAAAAGTTGAAAGAAAAAGTTATTAAGCAGGGTGATTATCGTTGCTTTGAATCAATTGTTTTAATAAAACCTCATTTTCAATCAAAATAAGGTTTGGTTAATCAAACTGAGTGATTGGGATGTAACATAATAAATAATATGATCTATTTATATTAATACCAGAAAACGAATTTTTCGAAACACGACAACGCTTAAACCTCGCAAAACGCGCCTACGAAGATGCAATATCTGCTCGTTCCGCAACACAACACGAAATCAACGACCTTCTCCAACGAAAACACCAATGGACCAACGAGGACGTGACGCGATTCACCGAATTGTATCGTATCGAGCACTTGAACGAACAAGCAGAGTCCGCAGCCAAAGACGAATATCTTGAGTGCGAGAAACAGGTCGAAAAGGAGTACACAGAGTTGACTAAATCGATAATGATGCGGTATCATGAGGAACAGATTTGGAGTGACAAGATTCGAAGTGCGTCCACCTATGGAACTATTGGGCTGATGGCGTTGAACGTAGTCTTGTTTATTTGTGTGCAGACTGTGTTTGAACCAATGAAAAGGCAAAAGTTGGCAGATAAATTTGAAGAGTTGTTGCTGACAAAGTTTAATAGTAATGTTGGAACATCGTCACCACCAATAGCTCCAGTAGGAGCAGCTAATAATCATAGCAATGGAAATGAAAGAGATGGTGGAATCACTAGTGAACAATTAGTTTCTATTATTGACCTTGTAAAGGGGCAAGAAGACAAAATTGACGAAATGGTCCAATTACAGAAATCATTATTGCTAGAGAATACTCTGATCAAGGATAATATTGTTGTTCCGCCATTGGATGAACAAAATCCTAAAACATTAATTAAAGCTGGTGCTGCTGATGCTAAGGACATTGAAGGTAGAATGTTTGGGACTGGTTTTATTGTGGGTGCTATTGTGGGAGCCTTGATTACGAAGCTTTGGACATCGTTGAATCGGTAGAACATGTTAATATTAAAAACAATTGAGAGAATGGGATGGGATTATTGCTATCTACCAGAATAGTAAATTAGAAGCAGACTTTTTTATTTGCAAAAAATCACTTGTAAATTTATCTAAAAATCTTCAAAGAAGAATACTTTTTAAAATTGTAAATAATTACATTTGAGTGATTAATGGTGCGCATTAACCTTTTTTCTAGATTTATTTCTACCGCTTTTCGTACTATTACTGATATTACTACTACTACTACTACTACCACGCGCTGATTTTGATGAGGATGATAACGAAGATAAATTTAATCCACCAATGACAGTGTTTCGCCATCCATTTTCTTGTTTTACTCTCGAGATCGCTTCGTGTATTAAGGAATGTCGACATTTTTGTAGTTGTTCTTTTTGTTCTTGCTCTTGGATCATTATATTGTTGTTAATAACAGATTCATCTTTCTTCTCAAGTTCCTCCTGTTCTTTGACACGTTCTTGCTGTCCTTGTTCTCGTTCTTGCATTTGCTGTTCCTTAACAAGTATTTGTTCTTGTTTTTCCTGCTGCAACTTTTCAGCCACCATCTCCACAACACCCAATAAACAAATATACAAAATTTCTTCAGATTTCGATAACGACGCATTCGCTAGATTTTCAAGGCCGTAGACGATTGATGTGAATGCTAGAGCCAGATAGTTTAGACTGGATGTTGGGGGGACAAGTGTCTACAATATAAAATTAAATTGAAAAATTAATTAGTCTTCATATGCAAGCTATCATTTGAAATTAGAATTATTTAATTTGATTGAGAATTTGGTATGTTCGTATTGTTTTACCTTTATCGCTTTTATAATATTTTGTAATATCCAAACGTCACTGATTCCATGTTCTTGTAATGGCGATTTTTGCGATGATTTGGCACTATAGAGCTTACTTAGACACGACAACACATTGAGTGTTGTAAATCGCAAGCAAGCCAGTTGAATACGCTCTTGTTTTACGATAAAAAATATTAGGTTCAATTTAGAAAAAATTAAAAAGCTCATCTTGCAAAAATTCATATAATCAAGCATTACCAGCCACATTAAGGGACTCAACGACTTTCGATTCGAAAAAATCCAACGACTGATCTCCGCCAATGTTACGACTTCTAATGTCACTGCCCCCCAATCCTAACAGCTCATTAACGGACATCATTCCATACGAGATTAACTCCTTCAAAAAAGTAGTCAATAGTCGTTGCGACTCCTCTTCAACACAAGTCGAAAGGACTGTACAGAATGCATATGGTCCAATTCTGAGAAATAGGTCGCGTAGCTCTGTGCGTGGTATGTGAGATGATTTGTTGAGTGACTGTTTTTGATTTTTTATTGTAAATCAATCAGTCAATAAATAATTGAAAACAAATAATTTTCTCTGTATATCTGAGATAAAAACTTCACACATACCGAGCAAAACAAGCTCAACCACTCGTCAGATATGCAACAGGCTTCTAGAAACATTGTCATTTGTTTTATTCTCTTAACCATAGATGTCTGAGATTCTTCTTTCTCCTCTTCATCACCAATTGCTATATACTTAACATCCTCATCTTTATTAGAAAATTCACAAAAACTAATTAAAGAAGACGGAAGCGAAACTGGAGATGGTAATGTAATATTGTTTTTATTGTCGAATCCGAATCCGAAGACATCAATGCAGAATTGAATGAATGGGCGTAGTAAGAGTTTGATTGTCCAATCTGTATTTGTATATGTAGATTTTGAGCAAACCTTTTTATTGATCAGGAATATGAGTATGGATATATAACAAAATACCTAAATCCTTGTATTCTTTATAAAATTGATGCGCATCCTCCGAATTCAATCGAATCATATCTAAAGAAATTTACAATTGAGATTCTTCAATAAAAGCATTGTCAAATAAAACCAAAAAGAATACTTTGACACAAATAACTTACTATCATCATCACGAATTCCAAACCTCACAATCACATCCACCACACTTTTGACAATGCCATAAATCTCATCAATCTGTTTAATTGTCAACCTGTATTTCGCGCAATATCGTTTCAGATTTAAAAACAATACCAGTTTCAAGAGTAGGTGAAATGGTCTTTCGTGTAGGAGCCAAGAAGGTTTTTGTGATGTTTGTGGTGATGCTGAAATTGTCATTGATTGAAACCATTTCTGAAGGATGGCAATTGATAAGTCGAGAGTAATATTATGACGATGATGAAGCGGATCAATTGTTTCGTCTTCCTGTAGCGGTAATGTCGACGGTGATTTAAGAAAAGGAATCACGCATTCAACGAGATATTCTCGAATATCAATTAGTTTTTTGCCCGATTCACCGATTTCGGTTAATTTCAGTTCAATTGGAGATTTATTATCACCATTATCCTAAAATTTAGAATGGGTAAAAACATAATTAATAATATTGCATGACAAATAATAATATTCATCAACAACACAATACCGTTAATAACACGCCATAATAAACAAACTCTAAGTAATTCTTTTGTTCTTGTTCTCGGAATTGGTCTAAAAGATTACTAGTAACGTCACTACGAAAATTAGCTTCATATTCATCTTCATCATCTTTTTCATCAACGGCATTGATAATATCAATCTTCTTTAAAATGTCTTTTAACACAATAATTATCAGTGTTGATGATGTGAATGGTGATTTAATCGTTAAAGACGAGGGTGATTCGACTAATTTTTCCTTTCGAAGCCAACACAAACTTCCGAGCTTTCGCAAAATCTTTAAGATCACACGTGCTTGGCCTTTATTTCGTATTGCTTCTTGCACGAGCTTTTCGAGTACGTGATATGGAGAAATGAGCGATAGCTTATTTTTAACGGTTGTTTTTAATTATTAATTAATTGAAAAGTTTAAATATGGAATTTTGATATTATAAAAGTAAAAAAAATCAAATAAATAACACAATAAAATTAATAATCAAAGGAAACTCAAAAAATCATCACTCACTTCAATCAACGAATCAATAATACCCGATTGTATACTTTTAGTTATATTTAGTAAACCTAGCTCTTCTTCCATCTCACCAGTAGCGATACTACTACTTGAAACATTTACTATAGCTGAAATAATCTGATTACACACACTCGTGAGTCGTTTGGTGAATTCAAAAGGCCAGATAATCCATGAATTGAATGTTGGTTCAGTTATTTCAAGTTCTAACGGTCTAGGAATAAATTAAAAATGGTTCGAGTGTTCTATTATAATTAATTCCTAATATAAAAAATCAACAACCTATCATTAAACACAAGATCTCGAAATATAAGCCTCGCGTGGACAGATAACGACGAGAATACCGCCATAAATAATGTTACGGAATCCTAATTGAGAACAGGAATTCAAAACGAAGATTAATGTAATTATTACTAACTATTATCTAATTAATTAATTAATTAACAGATTAGTTAAGACCCACCGTCATTATGTTCAATTCCAGCATTGCAGGGTTTGTGGTATAGATTCTTGCTAGTTTCTTGATGCTTTTGTACAGTTCAAGTTGTAGTCCGTGATGAATGATCAGATCTTTGAATTCGATAATAGCGTGGAATTCTTTTTTCCTAGTTTAGGTGTTTATATATATTATTTAAAATGTATTGATTTATTTGTATATATTTATATTTACCCGGCAAACAAGTCAACAAATTGTAACAGAAGTTCAAAAAACGAAACGTATCCCGGCCACCGAAGACGAATACACTGAATTATCCAATTACGACACGCTGTTAATTCTTCCTTGGTGTATTCTCTTGTTGTGGATGTTGTAGGTAGTGGAGGGCAGTCTATTGAATTTTGTAGTATTCGTGAGAACGAGGGATTGATCCCATCGTCTTCTGATGCTTGCTTATAAATGTGATTGAAAATTTGTATGAATGCAAGCTCGTGTTTTAGTTGCTGATTTTTTTGCTTTTTTGGATTGGGAGTGGAAGTAGGTTCTGGAGCTTTTATTTGTCCGTATCTATTTATTGATTTGGGGTAATTGAAAATATTCATTATTGTATTCATTTTGCAAAAATAGTCGTGTTAATTTCAAAATGTGTAAATAATATTTTACCTCTTTTTAATCTTTTCTTTTCTTGCAGATTTGGACTGATAAATAACAAAAATTAAATTAAGATGACAATCGGCTAAATGGAAATAAAGATATATTTACCACAGTCAAAGGATTTATCCAATCTCTTGTATTATCATTGTTATTTTCTTTTACAACATTGCTATTATTGATGGTGAATTCGTATAGTTTTTTGAATTCAGGTTTATCTTTTATTAAATCGATTAATTCTTTTGTTTCGTTATTATATATACATATGTAAGAGAAAGAAAAATTTGTGTATGTGAATTAAAAATTAAAAATTACAAATCACAATATAAAACTCAAAGACAAAAAATACCCCAATTTTCCAGCTTCAATACGAGTTTTTTGATAATTGTAAACAACGAGAACCTCGACTGAGCATTATTTTTATTTTCATCCCAGGCTTTGAAGGCTATAACATTAAAATTAGACATAAGCAAAAGTATAATTGATGAATTGTCTTTTTCTTGTGAAAATTCGGCTTTTGGTAATAGATCGTGCAGAATACTGGTTTAATTGTCATTAACAAAATTTAATTATTATAACAAGATTTATAAATACAAAAAATCGAAATGCAAATCTAAATAAAGACCTTTCTGAGTCATCCTCACTGTCAAAATCAATCCTTCTATTAATTCGTGTTGTTATCGTATTGTGCTGTTGATGGTCCATTGATAACAAATATAAAGGTGAAGACACCATTTCATTGATGTAAACATTTTCGAGAGTCTTTGAATGTTGCTGCTGCTCTTCCGTTTTCTCGTTTAAAAATATATGAGATGGAGAAACTGGTGATGATTGTTCTAATTGATCTTCCATGTATCGTGCTGTGCTTCTTACTATCTCCAGACGATGATTAACTTTTTTAACAATTGATTCCATTAGAATCCGGTTAAAGGGAAAAACAATAATTTTCCTAATAATTAATAATTAATAATATTATAAAACTACCTGGAATCAAGTAATACCATTTACCCCAGAATTCCCCAAGATAACCAAGAACTGAAATTCGCTGATTTTTCGAAATTGCATTCGAAATCAATAATATTGGGTGGTGTAAATATGACATTGATTCGGGACGGCGTTGAATAAAGTATTTAGATATCGATATGGCTGGCTAGAGAAAAAAAATAATATTTGTTATTTTTTAATTTTATCATTTATAAATTAGTAAATTGAAAAAATATACTTGTGCTCCGATGCTATATAAAGTCTCAACAAGATATCCCTGTAAATTTAACCGTTCAACAAGTCGTAGGTATAAATCCGTGTCCAAATAAACTAATGACCCTTTTTCTTTTGTTTTTATTAAATCAACTTTAAATAAAAACCATTTGATTAATAATGTTTATAATCCTGGATTCACATCAGAAAGAGAAATTTGATACCACAAGATTGTCCCTCCCATTGTTGCTGTCCTCCCCATGCTTTAAACAAAAGTAAATGCAATATTTGTGCTTTTGATGTAGTATAATTAGTGGTTGATGATGTATCAACAGCATCGGAGTTATCATCATCTGAGGATAGCAATAAATCTTTGAATTTCGCTACAAGAATCTTCAGAGATTCTCTTTTGGCGAGATTTAAATAAATTAGAAGATCATAGTAACTGAATTGAGTAGGTTTTTCCAAAAAAAAAAATATTTATTTACTCAATGCTGATTTCCACGTTTGATCTTCTGTTATTATAATGAAATTGACGCAGCACGTTCTCAAAGTCAACCTATAATAATGTTAATTAGGGTTTTATTTATGCACTAGCTTTTTGTAAATTAGCCTAGAAGACCATTTTTTTTTACTTGGTTACCTTGAAAATATCAATTCGAAACATATTTGGTTTTGATAAATATCCTTTTATCAATTAAAAAAAGGTAGCAATCAATTATCCGATATAGAGAAGTTTCTTTATTCGACTAGGAAGAGAATTTTTCATAATAGTCAAGTTATTCTTTACCTGTTGACTTAAACAGTCACACGCTGGCAATCATACAAGAAATCAAACAAATTGAAATTAATTCTTTTTCACACCGTTATCACTATCATCATTTAAGCTATTATGTTAACTACAGAAGAAAGATACATTATAGTCCACAAATTTGATTTTGATTAGAGATTTAAGTGTATTTCCATAGGATGAAAGAGACATCACTATTTGTTGCTATTCGTATAAAAAAAGATTGCCAGAAAAAATGACGTGGCAGTTGATTTTAAGAAAATACAATAAAATTAAAAGAAATATTAAATTAAATAAATATTATTCTAATCTAAATTAAATTTGATTAAATTTATGTGTTAGTAAACCTCTAAAATATATCGTTCTAAATCCTTTAAACGATTAACCCAATCATTGGCCTCGCGCGCACTCAACTGACCAGCCTTCACAAAACTATCAGTGATTGCATCCCGAACATCAGGCACAGGCCAAGTCGGTCCACACAAATAGAACCATCCTTCCTGTTTCAATAAATAATCATGTAGTAAAACTGCGTCCTCTTGCATCTTATGTTGTATATAGACTTTTTGCGGTTGATCACGCGAAAATGCTAATCGAAGATGTGTAAGCACTCCTTCGGCGTGGTACGCCTCCAGCTCCTCGCCATACAAATATTCCATTGACCGATTTCTTGAACCGAAGTATAGAATGATGGGGCCGACTTCTACTCCTTGTGATTTTTGGTATGCACGTTCTTCGATGAAGGCACGGAATGGTGCCATTCCAGTACCAAGACCAGCCATTATTATGGGTTGTGTGTCGATTGGAGGAAGTTTCATTACAGATGATTTAATGGAGACGACAACTTTTTCCCCGACCTTTAGTTTCGATAAGTATCTTGTGCATTGTCCGTATCGTTTTTTACCGTTGGACTTTGTCCATTCAACAGTCACAATTAATAAGTGTACCTGGTTAGGATGCACCTTATTTGATGATGCAATTGAATAGTGCCGTGGTTTAATAGGTGTAATTAAATGCACTAAATCTTGTGCAGGTGGCCGTGCAGATTGAAATTCGTAAAATATATCAGCATATGTGGTGGTTTCTTCGACACGTCGTTTAAATTCCTCTAATCCATCAGAACTTGCAATCCATAATAATTTATTCTTTTCCGACTCATTTTTAGCATATTTTGCTAATGATTCATAAAATCTTTTTGGTGGCCGACCAAAGATATCTAAAACTTGAGTGAACACCTGTAAAATGGTTCTTGTTTCATATCGATTTCCATCCTTATCCGGCACATAAACAATATCATTCGGTTCAAGTCCGTAAAATTCCAAAAATTGATTAACTTCATCCAGGTCATTATGTCCATAAACACCAAGTGCTTCCCCGATATTATATGTGAATTTGTCATTCTCGTCAATGTCAAATTCAATATGAAATAGATAACGATCATAGGTCAATGGAGTCAATCTTCGATTCTCTGCCACTTTCACGACAAAAGTTTTTTCAGAAAGATCAGGACGAACTTTTTGTTCTTGGCTGTGAGCTTCTTTGAATAACAGATTTAAGGCAACTTTATGCCAATTTTCTAGTTTTGTTTCTCGTTCAGATGGTTTGTCAATATTTGGTGCAAATGAATTATTGATTATTGCCAATGGTAAGTTTTGATCGGATTTTTCAAGCTGAGACCATATCGTTGATAATGATGGAATGTCAATTCGAATTAGAGAATTCTCTGTTTGTTCTACGATAGTACGAACTATGCGTGTTACTTCTTTTTCATTCACACCTTCGTAATAATTGGCTATCGCTTCCTGTAATGTTTCATCTAATTTTGTATTGCGATATAATCTCAAAAATGCTGTTTGGAACACTATATTAGTAGCATCAGTCGAAGTTGATGATGAGGATAATCCAATATCTTGAACAATTTTATTAGCATCAATCAAATAAAGTTGAATGTTTCGTCTTGCGGCTTCGTATTTGAAATCATTAGGTAATTTTGTTTCCAATTCAGCAACATCCCATCCCGAATTCAATAATACCACTGTGTGTTCTTTCGCTGCATGCAATATATTATATTTCGTGACTAAGCTAGCATCATGTATCGCAATATAATCGGCGCCAAATTCATCATAAGTTCCAGAAATCGGATCAGAACCGAATCTTAAACGAGTAGTCACAACTCCTCCGTTATTAAACACGTCATAAGTTGATAGGCTAGAGAAATTTAGTTGAGGAATGCCGGTGAAAATGTTCGCTATATGTGCAGTTGTGTGTACAGTGCCGTGAGATTCGGCGTCCCAAAATACACAATGTTTCAAGTTATTTGGTGAGGGCGGAATATCGACTAGATCAGCATTGAGATTTATAATTTCGCCGGAGGTTAATTGATGAAGAGCTAATTTTATTTTCTGTGCATTTAATGTTTGAGTGATTGGATATTTGATGGCTACGACTTTTGGTGTTTGAATCTTTTTACTTGTCCAAATTTCTGATTGAAAAGATACTGAGATATCATTGAATAAAGTTGAATTATTTCTGCCGGCTCCACTATTTGTATTTAAGACGTGTTCGAATACAGCGATACGTTTTGTCGTTTTTGGTAGAGAGCTCAAGAAATGATCAATTGACCATGGTCTATACACACGAACGATAACAGCACCAACTTTACCACCATACTGTGAAAGATGCTTAACAGTCTCTCGCACGTAACCAGTTTCACCTCCCAATACCACAAAAACGGACTCGGCATCGTGTGCACCGACATATTCAAATAACCGATAATGTCTTCCTAATAGTTTCCCAACTTTATTAAACACTAATTCAATTGCATCGATACGTGAATTAAAATGATGATCGAAGGAATTTGCCTCCGCATTAATTTCTTTCGCCAATTTTGCAATATCATCGTAAGATAAAAGACTTGCTCTTGTTACTTCATGTGCTGTTTTTATACCATCGAAAATGTGTAAGAAAGGAGATTGGGTCAAGGATGAGGCTAAATGTGCTATTAGTGCTATATCATGCAGTTCTTGAACTGAAAAAGAATTGATAATCGATACACCTGTTTCACGTGCATCCAACACGTCGTGATAGTTATCTATATTGTTCATTTCTTGGTCGTGCCCCTGTGCTGCCACGTGTATTACGAGAGGAATATTTTGAAGCGCAATCGTATAGAGGTTCGGGATCATATTTACAATTGCTTGCGAGTTGGAGAATGCAGAAAACTGCCAATTCGGAGATAGCGCTGACGATTCTGTAAAAGTCATGGCAGCGCCTAGAATTGCGGTAGCAGCGCCAATGCGAGTTTGCATTCTTTCAACTCTCCCCACATTTCCAAATATATTTTGCATATTATTCGTGGACCAATTTTCAGTTAGACTTCCAATGTATCCCACTCTTACATTCGGATAAACGAATGTATGTGTGCTTAATGCATAAACCACATACTCTAAAGCCGCTTTTCCGTCAACAAGTTGATCACCACCTGATCTCTCAATTGACAAAATCCTATCATGAATTTTCGATCTAATTAGCAATTTACATTCATCATCGGTATAACTGTCCTCTGATTGAAGTTCATTCACAATTGTCGCGTCAGATGTCTTTTCATCGTTAAAGGAGGAAGTTGAAGACGACTCATCGCCGATAGTATCCAATATATTGTTCAAAACTACAGAGGCAGAATCCTCTGTTGTTAGTGCTGCAATAGCTTCGGCGGATAGCTGAGCAAGTTGCCCCAATGGTAGTGTATCGATAATCTTTGATAAGAATGGCACATTAATACCATCATCCCGATTCTTTCTTAATAAAGCGAGATTATTGGACGCGGCAATAATATCCTTTTGTTTCGGTATACTTTTCATCACATGATCTCTGATCTTTCGCGCTACTAACGCATGATCACTCTTTTTCCCACCAATATTCGTATTTTTCAAATTAGTCGAGATGGCGACTTGTAAATAATTGTCACGATAGGTGGGCATGAATAAGAAATCACATAGCTGAGGGATTTCGGCAACGTTGATCGGAATACGTCGTTCTCGCGCTGCAATCGCAATCGTCTGAGATAATTGTGGATCGTTTGTTGCGGATAATATTAAATCAACGATTGTGGGAGCATTATCTAACATCCCAATTTCGAATTCTTTATCAATGAATTCTACTAATAAATTATTAGCTTCAGCAACCTTATCATTATTAACGCTGCCATCACTATTCTTTTCTATATATTCTAAAAGCTTCGAGCAGTTTATCTTGTGTTTTGGATAGACAAGCGTTATCTTTGCCGGATTTGCGGATAATGCGAATTCGAAACGGTTGGCCGCGACTTGGTTCCCCCCGACTATTAAGACGTGGCGACCTTGTAAACGCCAGCCAACAATAAGACTACTGTATAAGGTTGTCATAATGTGTCTTTATTTGGATGTATTATCGTTTAAATGAAAGTAGAAGTTTTTTTTCGAATAATAATAAATTCGGGAATTTAAATAAAAAAAGCTTAGAACACAGAATCATCTTTATCGATATTTTTTTTTATTGATCAACACAAAAAAATTCTGTACGAAAATTTAAATAGAAAGTATGGCGCAATATCTGGAGAAAAACGCAACTTTTTCATCCAATCAAATAAAAAAATTTATGGTATTGGGCGATGTGAAAAGATGTGAATTAGTAATTATCATTCTGCTGAATTTAGCTCATTAAAAAAAGATCAATATTAGTAAGCTCACAAAAGAATTTGAAGTCCAATTCCAAATAGAATAAAAACGAGTTGAATCCCAAATTACGAAAAACAGCCTTTTCGTTTAAAAATTGCTAAAGAGACTATAACCTGACTCAAACAATCATGCAAATAACTCATGCGGTCGACATTGTATAAGCAAAATTTCAAACGTAAATAAATTTATTGTTCTTTAGCTTCACATACTTTTTATAGCTACATGTTTGGACAGGTTAATCAAAGAAGGGAACATGCTGAACAAAGCATCGTATAATGTTTGATTCACTTTATTTGCTATTCTACGATACACCCAAGCGAGACTTCACATCATCAGGCAATGGAGAATAAAGTCCTACAAAAATAAATTTCAATGAGGAATAATAAGAAAAAAAAAACGTCAAGAATGAAAATGTAAATAATTACTTTCGGCGATAATGCAAAGATCACCAGTATCACCTCCTTCATCATCAATTCTCAATTTTTCCTGAAAGGTCTCTCTGACGAATGGTGTCATATCCTCGATTCTCACAACAAAATCTTCCAAAAATTGATTTAACATTTTACCACGGATTCCCAATTGAATGGCTCGTCTTTGTAATTTCACGTCATCCAAATTATAATCAGGATCCCACTGAAAAATAACATCTGATTGTTCAACATCTCGTTTCCATTCTTCCTGGTTCTCATAGTGTCCAAAACACTGATTATATGTTGACGAAACTGCCGCCCTTAGAATTTCGAGAAAACCTGAATGTGTTATATGAATTCCGAGGATACGTTCCTGGTTAACTTTTGTTGCCCATTTTGATCGATGCATCATCCAAGTGAAATTTGGTTTTATCCATGTCATTCGTGTGGTTGAAAAATCGGGGCCTCCTAATTTTTGATTTTGTATGGCGTAATCAGCAATTGATGGACTAAATGCTTGATAGACTAACACTGTTTCATCGGACCAGTTGGCTATGATATGCCGACCTTTATCGGGCCAACGTTCCTCTTGTTGTTTATAAGATTCTATATGCCGATACATCGATGCCATTATTATATGAACTGATAACGATAATTTTAATTTTTTTTATATGAGAAATCAATTCTCCTTTTATATTTTTTAAATAAATTATTATGCGCAGTTGTTAAATGAAGAAATAGTGTCGCGTACACAGTCGTACTAATATACAGTCGACGAGCATTACATAATAAATTTTTCAAAACACGAATAGCATGTTATTTTACAATAAACCAAAATTAAAATAGCCAAAGAATACACACATACACACACACGTTCAATGTTCAAATAATGAATCACTTCTTTTGTTTTTTCTTTGCGGGTCCGTCATCATCACCACCACCTTTTCCACCTCCTCCGTATTTCTGTTCCATAATTCTACTAATCTTTTGCCAATCTCTATCAATTTTTTGTTTCTCTGTTAATTCTTTGCCACTACGTCTGGTCTTGCGTCCATCACCTGTCTTTACACCAAACTGAAAAGCTGATTTTGGCATCGCAGTGACATTGTCCTGATAAAGATGTACAAAACATACAAATTAAATTAAAAATTTATGCTCACAAATAATCTGCAAACACATTCAAATTACCTTATAATCTTGCCACTCTTCTTCCGTATCAAAATCCCATCTTAAAAGTTGTGCCTTTTTATTCTTTGTGACACCTTGATCACGAATAGTGTGCTCAGTACCGGTACCATCAGAGTCCGAGTCAGAATGTCCGGATTCGTAAGCACTTTCTCGTGTTCCACTCATAGTAGAGCTCATACCAAGTCCATAGGTTGAATAATCTCCTTCGTAACTGTCGTGGCTCAATAATTTCTTTTTTAAGTCTTCGTTCTTTGTTGTTGCTTTTGTTGTTGATGATGATGATGGCGGTGTTGTTGTTGTTGTTGCTGTTGTTGCTGAAAATGATAATGTATTTTCTAGAAGTTGTTCATTTAAGAAACGAGTATCTTTAATTCCAATAGAGGCTTGCTCTATTAAATAATCTATGGGCTGATTGTTTGTTGCATTGATGTCCATTTTATCCTCTTCATCTTGCTGTTGAGAGCTCTCACCAAAATAATTTGATTTTAACTTATTATTATTTCCAGCAGCAGCCGGAAAAACTGGACCAATGAATCCAGTATCTTCATCACTCGCCTCTTCTTCATCTTTTGTTTTAAGCTTTCCTTCAACAGACGCGGTTTCATAATCTCTTCCAGCTTCAGCAAAAATATCCTCCGTATCATCTATGGCAGCAAACTTCATCATTCGAACTTCTTCAGGTTGCTTTTCTTTTAATTTTCTTTTAATTTTTTTATCTTTTAGATCAACGCCTCCACTCCGTTCACCTTTTCTCACATAAGCCATAACCTGCGAGATCTTTTCAATCACTAAATCATTCGTGGTCTTGTCCTCTGCATTAATATCACCAATGTCAGCTTTACTTCTTATCACGGTGGTAGGTATCGCGAACGGGTCTCCATAATCGCCCATCTCGTCCGCCAATTCAAAAATATACGCCATACGACCAGCAATAAATAGTTCATTAACTTTTGGTGGTTTTTTCTTTGCGTCAATAACAGCAATATCATAAATGTTTTGTGCAAGTCGGCTATTTATTCGTGGTTTCTCTTCGGTCTCTTCTTTTAATCGTCTTAGAGCTGCCTCGAGCTCTTCATCTTTATCAGATGCTATTGATGTTCCTGAACCACCACCACCTCCTTGATCTAGTTCATTACGTACTTTCGCTAATAAAGCGAAATCAAGACCTTTTACCAAATGCGTGTGTTCTGTATCACCCCCTAAATATTTAGATTGTTCATAGATGGTTTTTGCCTCGAGCGTTTCACTCTTGTTTAATGCTTTTAGAATCTGCTCGGTCTCTTGGTAATCGGGGTTCGCACCCTTACGACGTTCAGCAGCTCGATCACGATATTTATTCGTTTCGGTCGTTTCAAAATCTGTAGCAGTATCGACTGGTTTTTTGAAATGGCTAAACAGACGTAAAATATTTGAGGATGGCGCATTAAGAGTAAACGAAAAACTCAAGATAATTTTAATTATAATCAATTACGTTCTCTTTGGTCTTGGAGTTGGAATGTCAGCAAACGTGACCTTGCTATTTGGAGCAATGGTAACGGTCAATTAATAATTAATTGGATGCAAAGTAACCATTAAATAAAGGGAGCCATTAGCAATCTAAAAAAGAAAGCTCACGGTGTAGCAGGAGGAGCAATCCGATGCTTTGATATGGCACTTCCTAGACTACCCTTTACAGGTAATTCCCCAGGTCGAGGCGTTTGCAATAGCTTACGAAAATCATCTTGTTTCAGCCTATCAAAGACAGAGGATAAACTATATAGTAAGTAAATGTGAAAAAGTAATGCGGCAATTCTCAAAAGTCAAATTGGTGTTAAAAAATTAAAAAGCACCCTTTGTTTGAGGAATGATCTACCGGTGAGGACATGTAAATTTCTTGTCTTGGATTTCTTTGAAGAAATAACGATAATGGTAATCCTTGATTTGGTTAGAAATTAGGTCATGTGAATTAATGATCTAGCACAAACAAAGCACATGTACGGTACTACGATAAAAATAAAGCATCCAGACACCACGTTATTAAAAGTCAAATAGAGATCGTTTATTATTCACTTTCACGCGCCAAACCGGATATAATATAAAAATACAACAATAATAAAAAATAATTAAATAATTATCGAATTGACAATAAAGAGAGAGCATGTACAACAAAGTTTCCTGTTCCCATTAATAAAAAACCCAAGATCATTCTATCTCAATTATACCAGAATCACTGCAACAATAACAGCCACGAAAATAGCATGCAAGCCGTTTATCTGAGGATAAGTAGCAGCGCTTGTACTATTGCTACTGTTGTTTACTGATTGTGAAGGAATAGCTGATTTCCGGACGAGATTATTTTTAACGCCTGAAATCTTTGTGGTGGCGTTTGTAGCATTTTTAGAATCCACTAACGTTGACGTTCCGTTAGCATTACACTGTAACACTGACGCGTAAACAAACGTCTCATTCGCTATTCCGGCTACCAGGCCTTTAGGACACGGTTGACACTCATCCACCAAAAAATGTTGTGCATTAACGATAAGCGAACACATACACGTCAACATGTCACTGATTGCCGGTGCTTTCGTCAACAAAACTTTTTTATTCGTGATATTGAAAAAGGTATTCCACTCTGAATCACGTACTTTCGCACATTCGGTTAAATTTTTGCGTTTCTGCACCCAACATGCTTGACAGCTTAACCATTGTTGCTTTTCGGCTGCTGTTAAGTTTTTTTGCGAAAATATTGCAGTATCGTTTGCCGCTGTGGAGTTTACTGTGGCGTTTGCTGCTGATACTGTAGCGTTTGCTGCTGATACTGTAGCGTTTGCAGCTGGAACCGATGGTGTTTTTTCAGAATTGGCGAAGAGTAGGAAGAAGGGTGATAGTAAGAGGAGGAATACGAGGAGTAAAGTTGGTGAAAGGGAGTTGTATCTCTTCATTTTTTTTTTCTTGTTTGTCTTTTTCTCAAAAAAGACTTGTGTGTCTAGAAACGAAGGAATAAAAATCTAAATAATGAAAAGAGAAAAAACTACGAGAAAGAATAAAGTAGGAAAAGACGGGGAAAGGAAAGGAGGAAGGAGAGTTTTTCGTGGGAATAAGAGAAAAAGGGGAAAAGAGAAAGTTGAGAAGAGGGAAAAGCAAAAGAAGACGAAAAGAAAAAAGGTAAAGAATGGGAAAGTAAAAAAAAGAAAGTCTGTAACCGTCCGTCTATTTTCTAACTGGTAGAAAACAGAAAAATCAATGCATACACATCCGACACATAGCCAGGCGCATTTTATAACATTACCTTACATACATATACATGTAATTAATAAAACGGCCTAAAACGAATGGACCAATAACATAGGAAAATGCACCATCCATTGTTTATTTTTTTTTAATTATATTTTATTACATGTTTGTATTAGCTGTATTATCGTTCATGATTGATAATTACTTAATTTAGTATACAGCTGTGTATACAGTTTATGCATTATTGCGCTACCCAAAAAAGTGATGCTTTTGTGAGCTTCTCTTAATGGGATATTGACATTCATGGATCGGATATTTCCGCAACATTTAATATCACAAACTGTGTTGGAGATCTGTGTTCTCGGTGTTCTCATGAGAACACAAATTCATCAGTGAGAACTTTAAAAACAAATGTCTTCTTCTCTATTGAGAACACAAATAATGTTAATTAGTGAGAACAGAGAATTAAATACGGGGACAGCATAAGTATAGTGTTCTCGATGAGAATACTAAATTTCCGGCACTGATTACAGTTCAAATGTTTTTAAGAAGCCCCCGAATACATAAGTATGATAATTATCATCTCCCTCAATCAATTTTATTCTATTAATGGGTGAACCATATTCGAATTGTCAAATGACAGTTTTATTTTCTCTTCAATTCTGAAAGCAACATTGAGGAAATCCATTGACATTCCATATATGGGCATACTTGCCAATCGAATCACAAATTTGAATTGATATAATAGCAAATCTTGACAAAGAATTTTTCAATAGCCACATTTTTGGTCATGCGAGCATGAAGCATCAAAAACGAAACCCGCAAAATGTCGTAAGACAATTTTAAGTATACATGTAATCCTTTCTCCTTTTAATAATCGCCTACACGCATTCTTATTGGTTAATTAACAAAGAAATAACCGTTGACAATTGATGTACACTATATACATTATGCCCTCCATAAATGTAATCTCATGTTAGTCATATGGAATTGCATTTAGACACTTTTATATGCGTTATTCATTTTCATTTTATTATAATGATATCATTTTCAAAATACAGTGAGTGACAAAAAAATTTTTAAAAATATTGTTCTTAAGTTTTTTTATTAGGTTATAAGAAATTAATGGTTTATCATTCATTTCACCTAATCCATTAATTAATTTAATTATGGAACCCTTGCTGTTGAAACCTTATATCATATATTTGCTCAGAATAACTTATCTCAAAAACAATCATGTTTGCAATTTCTATTTCATAAATCATACTGACCTCCTTGAAAGTTTTCATTTACCAAGTAAAATTTTGATAAAATTTCATTGTACAATAAAGAAAAATATGATGTATAAAAAATTAATTAAAAAAAAATAATACCAATATTATTTGGTAAATAATCTTGAGTAAACTTTTTAATAGTTCTTAAGAATATATATATATATAAAAAGTTCAATATTTTTGAATAATTTTTATTAAATTATGATCTAACAGTAGAATAAAGATAATAGTTAGAAGAATATAAAGATCTTTTTGATGATAAACTAGGCAAGACTAAACTAATTCAACATGAAATAAATTTAAGAAATTAAATTGTTTCGTCGCATTTCGCAACCATCTCCTAATAAATTAATTTTCCGTTCTTAAATTTGAAACAAACAAACATTTTAATACTTAGGTAACCTTTAAGCTCACAAATATCCACATGAATTTTCGTTTCCGTTTATAAACATCATTTCATTAAACTTGATGAATAAGTCTTTCCTTTGGTCAAGAACCAGCATTCAATTTTATCCTTGTATCAGAGACTGATCTTTTACTAATAGTCGTAATCAGTATATAAAGAATTAAAAAAGGCTAATATATTTGACAAATAAACTTACACAAGATCATGCAACGGAAAATTCAAGTAAAAGAATAGCGGGATAGTAATAACAAACAAAATTATTGAAACAAGTGTTAAAAATTACAAACATATCGGATAATCTGTTTCAAAACGAAAAATTTATTACGTAATTTTATAGAATTTACGCGTTAACGCATTCACATTTAATATAAAATAGGTTCCAAGAATAAATTCTTTTTATTTTTCTCTTTTTTTAAAAAAAAGAAAATCGCGCTTTATCTTATACACGCTAACTTTAACATCTAAATTGATGATCGTTTTATTTCTCATATGATTAAGATGGCATTTGGCTCATTAATATTGGACAAATCCATAACTCCTGCATTAGAAGAAACAATCAAATTACCTTTGAAAGAGCAAAACTTCTTCATTCTACACCTTTTGGAAAATAATTAGCCATCCCAATGATTAATGATCATTATATTCGACAAGTATTTCAAGCCGTAACTCGGACAAGATTCTTCCAATTCACCACAAAATACTGCAGAGACAATGATTAATTCCATCCATAATAAATATGCAAGATATACAGTATATTGCAGCATTGGAATTGGATTTCAGTGAAATGCATCTATAGAAGATTTCCTTTCATCTGCTGCTAAATCTTATTCCATGAACTGCTAAAATCATGTCCTACAAATTTACCAATACCTGATGATTTCGTTTATTATTTATAATTGAATTATTCTACAGCTGCCTGCAATGGAATTGTAATAATCTTATTTTCTGTTAAATGTCACTATCTCGATATCGGACATTTGTTTTACAAGAATAATGCTATTATATGAAGATTTTTATGATCTTATCAAGATTCTGGATCCAGAAGAATTGATAAATAAAGAAATAAATTGGGAAACTTATCATCCACTTCTTTACCGTATCAATCATGTAATTGAGCACTGAATGTTAAAGGTTTTCATCTGTTGGAAATCACTTATACGATATATTAAACCATGCTGATCATGGTTCACGTTGGAAATATATCAAAGGAGATATGACAAGAGATAATTGGGTACAGATTTTTTCGTACTGAAAGATATGGTGTTAGTATTTTGATAAAAGAATGAGAGATAATAGGTGTAGAAATGATAATGGTTGGTCTAACTGGATAATTAGAGAGATTTATTCACGGGATGTTGATGATTATGAACAAGTTGCAAGGGTTATACTAGTTTTATACACATTGGACACCTACCAACCTCAAAAATATAAATAACAACATTTCCTAACTTCTCAAATATCATTATAACAATATGTGCTTTAGAATTATGATTCGCTTCACGTTTATTATGGTGCTAGGAGATTTTGATGGGTTAAACTTAATAATTAAATTAGAAATCAAAAGGCTTTGTCTATCTTTACTTATGTCGATGAATTATTGAAAGCAAAAAGATGTTTATGATAATTCAGTAGTTATTAATTCAGCGCAGATGGTTCTAATTCTCTTTACAAGGACATGCACCAGGTTCTGTAAAACAACTCTTTGTGGAACTGAAAAGATATTGTTGTACTAAGCTTCGAACATCAGATTCTATATATTGTGCACTTTCTGATTATTCTATAGTTTTCGCAGATTTGTTCCAAGTGCGACAAGCCACGGCATATTTATACATTTGAAGTGCTTCAAAGCAACTTTGTGGAACCGGGATGTGAATGCAGCTCGGAATATACAGTATTTGGATGTAAAGAACAACTTATGACGAACTCTTGATATAAGAATTTAAAATTTTGTAAAGTTTATCTTAGTTCGTTATAAAAGTATAGCGGGCTCTACAGAAAATATAGTAACTTTATATAACGAATTTTTTAGCAGAACCGTTAGTTCGTTATAGAAAGAGTTGACTAGAATGATGAAGCGAGGCCGGAAACTTAACAAAGAAATCGGATATTTAATACCAGTTATGCTGGTTGTCCACCGAACGAATCATAGTGGGGGGGGGGGGGAATTGTCTAGCTCTCGAAGGTAACAGCATTATGATTGAAATCCTGTGAAGCTATGAGTATCTCTGTAGCACATTCACATATTAAGGACTGGTGTCATGTAGAAAAGTGTACATTGAGTAATGTAATAAAATTACGTACCGCTATGTTTATTCGAAAGTGTTACCATTACGTATTACTAATTTATTATTTGCTATAGATAACGATACAGCTTAAACATAATTGAAGTATACAACCACACGTGCATCTCAATCGACTCGGTTACAACGTGATTATAGATATTGTTTTGGTATGCGCTCAGTTTCGGTTTTGATCAGTACAGGTGTTTCAGAAAGTAACATTGGGCGAACTACTGTCAAATTGTTTCTTCTTGAGCTTTGAGCAACATTCCATTCCCACTTGCAACACGCATACACATATACGTATATAGTATATTCAGTAATGACCCATATATAGTACCCTACTTTGTTGTAGAAACTTTCCATTTAATTTATTCTCAAAGCAAATGACTTAGGAATAAGAGATTTCGAAAAATTGCATTGGAACTCTTGAATTACTACTCGTTTCGTGGAAAAAATATTATTTACTTAAAAAATTTGAGGCTAAATTTAATGGTAAAGTTTTTGCGGGGTAATAATTACCAAAAATAAGATTCCGTGCAAAAATGCAAATAAACACAACTTAATAATTAAAATTTAATAACGGAACAAAAGTTTGAATTCTTATGGGGCATTGAAATTGAGTATTAAAATTACTTTATCTATCAAATTATTCTAAGTTAAAAAAGTAACATCAAAATTGGGCACCGAATGTGGTGCTTATTTTCGGGGGTATATGGTACCTCTTACTAAGAGCGTATAGCATATGA